ACACATTTCTACCCAAGACACTAATTTTTGAACATTCTGGATAAGTAATTCCCAGTGTTCATCAGGCTAAGTAAGCTAAGCAATAAGCCATACATGTTTCTTCCAAGAACACATAAAAACAGTATTGTCCTTCAGAGACCATGATACAAAACGAAAGCCAAGGTCCTTAAGCAGCTGTAAAAATCCACTTTCTTTGCCTAAATATAGAACAAACCTGAGTATTTAAAAGAAAAAAATCTCACATTTCAATTATTTCATAAGGAATATCTTGACAGCAACCTTATGGTACTCTCCCTAGTGCTGCCTCATAGCCCCATTAACCCATGCGCCCCAGAGAGAAGGCCCTTTTTTCATTTTTTTTATTCTTCTCCCTTCTGCTTAGTATTCTGCCTCCATCACACTTCCACGAGTCTTCATACAGGCAGCACCAGTCCCTGCTGCCACATAATTCCTACAGGCACTCTGGAGAAGCAATTTCCAACCAACCTCAAATTGAGGAAAGGCTACCCCCTTGGTAATCTGTCTCTTTTCAGGTCAATCAGTTCCTCAGCGCCTTGCAAGGGTTTACCAAGAACAAATGCCTCACACTGAGAATTAGCAGCAACCAGTCTTCAGTTCCACTGTAAAACACATTACAGCCTTTGAAAGCAACGCTAAAAGTAGTGCAGAAAAGCTCTCTCCTATCCTTTTTCTACCAATCTACTAAGGATTAAGTAACAAGCATTAAACACCAACATGGTAAAAAGTAATTAATATGCCAGCACCTATGAGAATTGTGTTTCGCTGAAACCCACAGAAACTAAAGAGAACTGCCCTGTCATTTAGGTTGGTGTCATTTTCTGACAACAAGCAATGGGTAAGAACTGCTCATGGCAGTTTTTGCAGTATGCACCTGCAGAATTAGTTTGTAAGGAAAACTTCGGTGTTAGTACAAGGTGAGAACAGAAATGAACTAGTCATATCAAAGCTCTGAGCAGGGCCAAATATATAAGGCCACTTCAAGTAGACCGAGCTGAACATCAGCAAGTTCAAATAATCCACAAAACCTGCTTGTCTGCCTGCAAAACAAAATCCTTCCTCAGTTCCTCTAGCATCTTCTCATCCTGATTTTCCACTTTATCTGCTCTTGACCTATAGGCATTACTAAACAGTGGACTCCTTCCCAGATGCTGAAGGGAAGTTGATCACCAGCATACAGTTTGGACAGTCACCTTACTTTTTGTCTTGCTCTCCCATACCTTTCTTACTGTTGCCATCCATACCCATTCAACATCTTTCTTTTTCTCTCCTGAAAGCCTTATATTTTTATCCTTCATTGTCTAACCTGATAGAAGGCAACACTGGGGAACAAGTTTTACACCTACTCTGTAGGCAAGCCTTTTCCCCTAAAATTAAGTTTTCTGCAAACAGAATCCAGAGAGCAAGTATCCCTTGTTATAGTGACTTGGATTCTCTCTGCTAGAAGTTTAGAAGTGTTACACTTCATTAACATCTTCAGCTACATTTCATATCCTTACAAAATTGTAAGGAAATTACTACCATTCAAATTCAAGCCAGGGTTCAATTTCAACACAATCAGTGAAACAGCCATTTCAAATACCTAACATGCCAGGTGAAAGCATCTTGTGGGGTAATCAGTCAGTGAAAATGAGATATCATGGGTAAAAGAAAAAAACCTGACAAATCAAAGCATACCACAAAAACATTACCAAGCCCCTCTTCAAAAACTGGATCTCAATTAGTTAACAACAGAGCTCATTTAGATTTTCAGAAAAGAAACCACCTTCTAAGTACTAGAGCCTTGTACGTGGAGTCCAAGAAACCGGTACCCTTATATCAAACTTCTCAGCACTAACAGTGCCTAGAAAGCACTCTGCTTGCCAGGGTGAACACTTCCTGCTAACTTCCCTATTGCCAATGCACATGAACCACATTTGTTATTTCTGATGATGTGGATATTGTGCTTATTTCCAGTCATTTTGAACAGGAATAAAGCAGCAGTGTCGCTGAAAGAGGCAACACTATCTTCACCTTGTTTGCAGCTGGTTGTGCCATCCCCTTCCTTGTGCTGATGTGAGCATCAGTTACACACTCAGATAAAAACAGGTTTTACCTAAAATTATTTGTTGGCACTTTTTTCTTCCTGGCACAAGGAATGAGACAGTTCGAAGTGGCAGCAAAACTATGCTGTCAGGTAAACCTTAATGACACCATGCCAAAGTACCTAACATTTCATCCTTCAAATGTATTTGTAAGTAAGTGTCCATGAGTTTCTTGTAAATGCTAGGATAACACCAGTGAGTACACTTATTACACAATGTTTTTGCAGTTAGCATACCACTGAAACCTTGTGAGCCCGATGAACACAGACCTTTGAAATTGTTTTCTGCAGAAGATGTTACTAAAGTCTAATGTTAAGAGCCTCTTCCGTTGCAGATCAAGGAAGTAAGAGCTTTCTTGAATGAAGACTTGATAAGTTTTCAAGGCAGCATTCATCTATTAATTATCCCTCATTTCTAAAAACTGTCATATGTGAGGAAAAAACTAAGCTATTATGAAGATTTTCCATGTACATAGCTGTAAAATCTAGGATTTCAGTACTTATAAAATAAATTCCCATAAGAATATAACAAATATATTTAATATTTTGTTATCATGCTTTCAGGTTTTGATACCTAGTACTTTTGCTTTAGAACATTTATCCTTTGATTACATTCAAGCATAGAAAAAACTTGGATGCCCCAGGGCCAGAAGAAGTCTTAAGCTGGATATTTGGCGCAGGGATGGCAGTTGGAAAGAGGTTCAGTACAAAGCAGAACTGCTGTTACTACTTCTACAACATGCGTGAAACCATGAGGCAAGGTAAGATGGCATTGACACTCCAACATTTTTGTCCTCAGCAAATCCACCCTTCCTGTCACACACAGTTCTACGCAGCACAGCAGCAAACACCTTAGCAATCTAGCCACTTCAAAATTTTTGTCGTCCTTATTGTTCCAGCAGAAAAGCAACTAATGTGATTCAGAGTCCAATTTCCATTACTACTGAGCCTCTTCCCTCTGCATTTCAGTTATATACTTACAGTAAAATCATCCTAGAGCAAGCTCTGAGTCCAAACTACGACACTGTTTAATTTGCATGTAAGCTAAGTGAAAACCATTTTTATAAAAGCCTAATGAGTTCACAAAGTGGTAACTGATTATGAACTGGAAAAATTTTAGAGAGCAAATGGCTGTAGCCACTCTAGAATTTGCAGAGTTACTACAGACGTCTGGTTTCTAAACAAGGCAGCACTGACAAGAAAACTTCACCAAATAGGTCCGCTGTTTATCCCCAACATTATTCTAGCTGACATTGCTGTCTAAAAAAAAAAAAGTAAATTTGAATATATTCCCAATAGATTTTATTGCTACATACTTCTTAAAGACTCAAAAAAGCTACTTTGTAAACTTTAAAGTTGGTCATATGGCTCTCATTTGTACTGACTGCCAAAAATACAGAATAAGGAAAAGGATGGGGGAGGCAGAAACATTTTAGAAATCCAGAAAACTGCTGCTTGTAGTTCAGATGAAAAATTCTACACCTGGACAGTGTTTACTAAGTTATCTATAGAACTGACACAGAACATAAAACTAGTATTTATTGTGACATCGACTTTAGTCAATTAACCAAATTATTCAATGAAGCATTTAGACATGAATTATTTCTCTGAAAATCCCTACAAAGACACACAATTCTAAAAAGTTTCTTTTGTTTCCACACCTCTTCAGACTAAAAAGTTTCCATTTCATACTTAGGTGAAACTTCTCTAAACATACACAACTCGTAATGAGACATTTTATTACTCCTAAAACGTGACTAATATAGTATACGTATGTTTTGGCTCTACCTCCGTCTCAGTCAGAAAGCAGCTGCTTTGCCTCTCAGCTAAACCATTAAACGAAATGGGTAACACATGCCTTGTTAGAGACCTCTAGTTTGCGCAATTAGTATCTGATTTACAGAAAATGCCTTAGCAATTATAGAGAGTAAATCACCACAAAGCAGGAGGCTACCATTTTAACAAGCAATATCAAAAGGAGGATGAGCTAGACAGACTTTTAACAGACAGACATCTACAAACATTATTCAAAGTACGGCCCCCCCGCTCCAGGATATTACCTCTTACCCTAGGGAAGGAATGCTGGCAAAGCATTTTTTACCCCATGGGAAGCACTTTTAATACTGCAAACTTTTAAAGAGTATTCATTTCAACAATTTGGATATCAGTCATAGCTTTACTCTTTTATTAATCCACTTTAGGTTAACTTAGAGATAAGGATAACTGGACAATCACGGAAGAACTCTGAATCTGCTAAAACGGTAGGTGGACTTTTTTTCCTAAAAGTATATTAACCTAAAGCTTACGTAGAACAATTACAGTAAACAGGAAAAAATGCTGTGTAAAGATTTATTATTTTAAAGTAAGTATTGCATGTGTATTTACAACGTTTTAAAGACCATGTTTGCAGCCTCCTCCCCCAGCTCAGAAAGTGTGCAACCTGTGAAATATTCAGGGGGTGTTATATTCTCTGGTTTACTTACAAATGTAAAGACAAAGACAATGAGAGATGATTGTCATAGAGCATTTAGGATTGAAGATCATTATTTTGACAACTGAGAAAAATGCATTTGAGCCTCTCTTGGTTTAATTAGTTCAGCTACATACATGCCAAATATTTCATAAAATGCTTTACAAAATCCTCTTGCTATAAGCAAAAATAACATACTGGGAAACAAGCCAGTAAGATAAGATAATATTTTTCCTTATTAGTTGGAAAAAGTTGTTTATTACTTCCCAGTTTCTTTTCATCTTAAGAGCACTTTTTATAATGCTCGAGTCTAATTAAAGGATATCAAGAGTTAAAAGTTGTTCCATGTTCCTTATGCGTTAGAAACCCCTGCCAACTAGTCCTCTAGGCTTTAAATATTGTTTTGACGGATTGCCTTTCCATTTCCAGTCACAAAGAAAGTATTCTCCATAGTTAACACACGACCAGATCTTCACCAGCTCAGTGAAAGCCAGACCCACTGTTCTGTGCAAGAATGAAGACTTTGCAGATGACTTTTTTTTTGCTTCTGTTTGTACCTTTGGTAAATTCAGCACCACCTATGCAGCAAGAATCCCTCCACTTTTATGAGTATGATACAGATGTTACCATGGAAAGCCTGACCCAACAAGATTATGAAATGCAAACCAAGGATATAAGAAAGGTATTTTATTTATATTATCAGTTTCATATTTTTAACTGCTGAGCATTATATGAATAAGATGTTATCTGCATGTATGCAAGTTTTATGGAAAAGTCTTATAATAATAGCAAAACATACAATGGTTTCAGACATGGGGAAAGCCACTCAAATTAAAACCACAAAAATACTACCCTTGCTACAGTTTGAGAAACCCACAAAAGACAGTCTTTCACAAATAAGACTAAAGCATGATTTTTAACTCTGCTGTAGTTACATGCCTACTGTTACAAGTTTCAAGAATGGGATAAAATAGCGTAACAGATCAACAGTTTGAGTAATATTAACACAGTAAGTTCACTTAAAAGCAAGGAGGGTGATTTTATTTAGATTTTTTTATATATCAAAGTAGTACTTGAAACAGTACTCTTTATTGGCCATAACCAGCCAGCGTAAACCACAGTTTTAATTTTGACTTACTAAACTATCAAGTTCTTTGCCTCAGTTTTTCAGCGGTAGGTTGGTTTTGGGTTTTTTTGCAGTTCAGCAGTCCTGAACTACTATGGAATGCCCAGTCCTGCAGTAGTCACCTATATTATTAACACTTTGAAAGTCTCAAAGGTAGCGTTAAGATTATACCTCAGGGAACTCACCAGCACCCCCAAACGGTCAATTCTGATTTTTTTTTGGTGTGTGCTCCACATACATGCCTGTTAATTTAAACACTTAAGCAGAAGACAACTTCATTTAACAGAGTTAAATCATGTATAACAGCCCCAGCTGACAGGGGCAGTTAAAAACCTTGCACCTCTGTTCAGACTGCCTCTGACAGGACCTGAACAATGCACATCAAGAGAATGAGACACAATGTTGTTCAGGCAGAAAAACTAACCACAATTGCCGTGAGACTAGTTGCCAAGGAAAATACCACACATCCAAACAAAGTGGTAACAACCACGCACTAATAAATTCAAGGAAGTTTTCATTAACTGTGCTTACTACAATAACCTAGCCTGATAAACAAGAAAAAAATTCAACAGCAAAAGGTAATTAGTATAAGTAAAAAAATTGCAGCACATAGTTGAAAAATCACTCCTGTGACTAAGAACAGCAGCTACATATTTATATTTTAAAATGTCTAAATATTTGCAAATGTGACAAACCTATGAAAGACACCGTTTAAATGACTTAACGTAATAGGTGTTTATCTACTCCCAACTAAATTGTTTAAAAAATACTAAAATTGTTAAACTTAACTAGTTAGGCACAGCATCAGATGATATTCATTACTAAAACTGTTCTAATAAGAAAACGTTACTGTTTTAGTAAAAAGAACAATAAGGAGTATACCTACAAGGAAATGGTGCCAACAGATGTGCCACAGACTAACCAAAGTCCGTACTGGCAGTGCTATGTGTTAGAGGTCTTCTGAAGGCCAACAGTTCTGCTTAGGATAATTCTAAGAATGCAGTCGGTCATTATTTCCATCAGGTCAGTTCTCCAATGACATGTTTTCATTGCAAAATAATAAATTAGTTCCTTATGTGCAACAAATACATCTATAAATGTTCCAGTGTTCCCATTTTAAATCATGGGATGCACAAACAAATCTTCTATTCATTTACTGCACAAATTCTAGCTCCCAGAATATTTCAAGTGTTAACTGCAACTGAAATACATGCCAACAATTTCCTCAAACATGCCCAGTCAGAAATTTGTCTTGCATGACAAATTTAACCCCTTACAGCATGCTTGAACACACAGCTGGAAAAAAGACTTACAATGAAAACATCAGGAAGAAATCTGTGTGCATTAGCGATCAACAAAGTGAAGTGGCCTTTAGTCTACTCCTAAGGAAAAGGCCAGCCAAGCAAAGTTTATTACAATGATCATTATTTGAAACCACAGCCACCCCAGTCTTGAATAAAATAGCAGAAGTTTAAAAACACGATATCTTATTTTCCACAGAACCATCCAATTAGACACCATCTCATATCTGCACAAATTCATTCCATTGAATATAAACTATCAACTTTATAGACCTTTACATGTTACAAAGATGAATTGATTACTTTGCAGAAGTTTTAAGATGGTCTAAGTTTTTAGATGTAAAATGTTAATGTGCTTTTTGCATGTGTAATTCACGTCTGTGGAGTAAAGTGCAAGAGGCAGGTGGAATTTAGGTATGTTAGTAGGCCAATATTCCTTTGGGGCATTCCCTAGCTTTCTGTGTTTATAATCCAAACAATCTTGTGCACTGATATTCCACGACTAGGAAATTTTATAGCTGACCAGGATACAACCAATATTGTGGATTTAACCATACTCTTCAAATAATGTCATCTTTTTTGTTGGCATTTCCCACTTGCAGAAATCAGTTGTGCATTGTATCCTGCAAAGAACTCACAGGCATACTCTTTCATAGATCCCACCTCAAGGAGGATACAGTACCAGAAATCTACACCTGGCACAGAAATGCTAGGTCAGCAAACACATTTTTCATACAAGCATATTAATATCCCTTATGAGCCAAACAAACTAAAACAGAAGTGCAGTTGCTCTAAGTCCATGTACACAGAAGTCTCTCTCTACTGGCAGGGACGCCTCAGTCAAGGATATGCGTAATCAACATATCTATGCAAGCTAAACATTTTTGCAGAAACCTCCTGTGAGATGTGCTGCTTGTGTGAGTCTACCTGTTCAACCCCTACTCCCCAGCTTCTCTGCAGCCAGCACTGCAAAGGCTCTTACCCTACACAGAAGTTTCATGCTACCACTCCTAAAATGTTGCCAGCATTCTAACTTGGGTATAAAAAGTCTTACTAGTGCAAACCAACCTATCCCAAATGAGAGGCAAAAAAGAACCATAGCCTGGATAGACAGGGGCAGGGAAGAGCCAAGGGATGAATGATTCACAGGCTAAAAAGGGGTCAAAACAACTGAGGCTGGCCAAGATATTTCTCAGGCTTTATTTCAAGCTTGAGGGGTTTATTTTGCAAAATACAAAAAAATCCCACAGTAAAGTATATGCAAGGAACCAAATACTAAATAAAACAAAAGTTAGTATGACAAGTAACTTGACAGATAGTGTTACTTTCACATTGCTCTTGTAGATCAACTACCTATGTTACATGCCTGAATGGGGGGATGAGGGGTCATGTGTGTGGTAAAAAAACAAACCAACACACCCAAAAATCACCAGTTCACTTGTGAGCATTCGCAGTGCATTCAACAGGGGACTGTTCTCCTGCCAGGGCCTGATCCTTAAGCATGTTTAAAGAAAAACATCTTCCACACCCAATAACGTACTTTTCTTTGTGTTTTCAATAGCCATGCAGATCCAAAAAGCATATTGGATCTGTCCTACAAATATTCCCCATCAAAAAAGACAACAAATGATGCTAGCCAAGAACAACTGAGTTAACCTAAAAAACCCTTAACATGCAAATCACAGTATAACTCACCATATGCATACTATAATTCTAGAAATAATACGTAATTCTCTAAAATTCCTATTGTATTTAGTGAAGACCTGACTACCATTTCCTGCATCACAAAACTCCCTTTCTGTTAGCAGTCCAAGTCTTAAAACAGACTGAAGTTCAGTTAATGGAAATGAATTGCTAAATTTCAGCCAACACCTGAAAGGAACATGTCTATAAAATAAGTTGTCCTGCAAACGAAAGGATGTAATAGCTATCTCAACAGGGAATTCTGAAAAACTTCAAATGCAAGGAAATGTTACTTTACTGAGATTAGTTGGGTAAAACAAACAAACAAACCAACCTCACAACAAACCCCAACTTACATTTCACAAGAATCTTATCAAATTTAGCATGATGTGCAAAATCTTCTATCTCCAGAACTCCAGGTTTTTGTAGACACCCATTGCTTACATATTCCTTCCCCACCACGCTGTCTATAATTTGTTTTTATATCGACTGTTCTTTCTTAAAGAACTTGGCTTTTCTAAAGAACCCTAGCAGCACCACCTTCCCTTCTTGTCTTAAGTGAATAGCTCATGTACAAAAGGGATATGTCACATTAGTCATCCAGCATATAAGAGTATTTTCAAAATTAAATGCCAAAAGGAGGTATGTTGTAGGAAGCTCATTTTTAAAAGATGTGATATTTCAGATCTCTGGGTTTTTTTTGCTTTCTGTTTGTTTTTTAAAATAACATTTGCTCTCACACAAAGGACAGAACAAATGTTTCTCTTGACACTTCCCTAACACTGCAAGGGGATGACAAAGAACACAACGTGCCACCAACAAAGGATACAAGTAAGTTAATCAATATGAATTCTGTAACATTTAAGGTCTCCAAAAGAATGCATTTTAACAGGAAAATTTAATATACAAAGGATGACGAGGGATGTAGAATATTTTAATTTATTAGCATCTTTAGTATCTCCTGTGGAAAGTCATCTAACTTCTAATGGAACAGACTGAAAAAATAGACAGGCTCCTCAGGTAAGTCCAAATACACAAAGAACAGCTTATAAGAATCTCTGCAGACTTACTGAGTCCTATTTGCCAGAGATGCACCCAAGTTAAATAAGTTAGGCAAGACAACCAAGAAAAATTAAATACACACTCCAGTAAGTTCCACACTCCAGGAAGTTCACAAAATAGGAAACACAGTATATCAGACAACAGTGGTGACAAAAAGGGGTTCAAAGACATATTCATTATATGTATTTGAATATTGCCATCAAACAGGATTAAAGCCATGCAGACATGACTAACACTCTACAAATGTCTGTGAGGAACAGGACAAGCCATAATGGGCTTAAACTGCATTTAAAGAGATACAGTTTGCCTCACTACTTACAACAACAGCTACAAAAAACAGTCTGTAGAAAACTGGAAGAGATGACCTAAAGTCATTATACAACCATCATTGCTGGAGTTTTTATAAAAAGGATTAGACAAAATAGCAGCTAGGAGTAACACAGGGGATACATGACCCTGCCAGAAATGTCCCAGTGCAATTACAATATCAAATGTGTGCACTGCCAGATGTTTTCTCCTGTGTGGATCCCTCTTTTCAACAGAACAGTACTCAAGATGACATTTAACATGGTCACAGAGTTGCAGTTGTCATATTAACAATACTCTCAGCCAATTAGAGCAAGAAACTGAATCAGATGATTAACAGCATTTCAAGACATGCTCAGATAAGAGCAAAGAATATACACAGGAAAATTATGCACATTAAAAATACAAAACTCAAAATAGTTCAGGATATTAAAACTTCAGAACTTGATGCAATGTATTTTTTTTTTTTAATCTAACAATAGAAAATCTTAAAGGATACTAGAGACAATTCTATGTTGAATATTCAAGCCTAAGTTGAATGACTTTTGTCTACTAAAAATAATTTGTTTTCAGATCTACCTACTTGTCTGCTCTGTGTGTGCTTAAGTGGCTCAGTGTACTGTGAGGAAATAGACATCGAAGCTGTGCCCCCGCTGCCAAAGGAAACAGCCTATCTTTATGCACGATTTAATAAAATAAAAAGGATAGCGGTCTCAGATTTTGCTGACATTAGTAAGTAATGATCAAATTTTAATTTCTGTAACCTGACAGTATATTTGAAGTTGTTGTCCCTCAACAGTATGCCAAAATTACCAAAATAAGATATATCTTACACTTTGCTGGATTTCATGATGTGTATTACTCATTTAATTCAATGCTTGTTTCAAGAACAGCAACTGTGTGAAGGCAATATGGAAACCCCCTTTGGCCCATGCATCCATCTTAATATTCCCACACAATCTGAGAAAGACCAGATTGCTAAAAATAAAATTTAAGTCTGCATCCCAGCCTGTATTAAATGACCAGATATTAACATTCCTTCAGATGCTGTGGTGACATCTCTTCCCAGCTATCTCACTCTACAACATGACAAGTTTTATGAATACCTGAAATCATGTTGTCACTAAGAAAAAATGAAGGATCCAGAGTATTTTCCATATTTGTTTTAAAATATAAATGAGGAAATCCAAATGTGGATTTTATCCATATTTTAATAGCATTTACATTTGTAGATCACAATTAGGATAGTGCAGACAACAGTGTAACATTCAACATATATAACAATCCACTTTTCACATGCCATGTAATTATAAATTCAATATTTAGATTTTAATTTCTTTTGTGTAAAGCTACCTTGAGAAGAATTGACTTCAGTGGAAACAGGATAGAAGAAATAGAAGATGGAGCCTTTTCAAAGCTTCTGCTATTGGAAGAACTCTCTCTTGCTGAAAACCGACTTCTAAAACTTCCTGTTCTACCTCCCAAACTAACAACATTTAATGCAAACCAAAATAGAATCAAGAGCAGAGGAATCAAAGCAAATGCTTTCAAAGTAAGTAGAAGACCATGATTTAGGTAACCAAAGTAAATGAAATTAGCAACCAGACTATCCAGAATACCGCCAAATGAATTTTTCTGTATTTGTGTAGTCCAAGAAACAAACTATGGCAAAGCAGCTTTCCAGCTTTTGTTTTGTTTTTAAGGCACTTTGGAATAAGAGTCCTTTGCACACTCACTCTCTCATGTAATTCATAGAAAAAAAGAGTTTTATTAAATATCTTACCTACTTCCTTTCTCTCTTACATGCAAAGAAAAACTCAATTCCAAAATTGATGGCTCAAATACAATCTGAGGTCCACATAAATACTAATAAACAAGGATGTAGCTTTATAGTTGTCTCATTGCATGATCAATAAGCTGACACTGAAATTTCCAAAACATAGGCAGCCTGTTCTATGGGGTTCTTGCTACAACAGACTTCAACTATCACTGCAAATGAATGTTTCCTGTGATCAGAAAAAAATACTGGTATCTTGTAACAGGCACAAGTTACTTAACCTCAAGTAAGTAATATCAGCATTAATCATCTCCCTCTCTTTCTGTCAGAAGCTGACAAATTTGGCCTACCTCTACTTAGGACATAACGCACTGGAATCCGTTCCCCTTAATTTACCAGAAAGTCTGCGTATTCTCCACCTTCAGGTATTTTTCACGTATTTCCTTAATGTTCTATTACAAAGAGACTCTTGACTTACATACAACAAACCAAACCCTTTGCTAGCGAACTACCATGCAAGAATTCCTCATTAGTTTCTGTACATCAAGGGTAGAAAATGGTAAAAATAAGCACAATCTTTTACCAACAATAAATTTCAGACATCAGTAACAACCTAAAATTGTTTATCAGCTCATTGATTGGCTCAAAATTGATTCCAACATATCTGAAGTTTACACAAATCAATTCCAATTACAATAAAATGGGAGGGTAAGAGGAATAAAAAAGTTTAAAATTCTTCAATGTTACATGGGTGCGTGTTTATTTATAAAAATTGTTTTGTTTTGCAGTACAACAGCATTACGACGATCACCGATGACACATTCTGCAAATCTAATAACACACGTTACATCCGCACACGTATGGATGAGATAAGGATGGAAGGCAACCCGATCCTCTTGGCAAAGCATGTTAATGCTTTTTCCTGCTTGAGAACACTGCCTGTAGGAACGTACTACTAGCCACTACTTACAGAATTACACACACGAAAACTTAAACATGGTAACAAAAGACCATTCTTTCCCTCTGTTGACACATTTATAACCTCTCCCTTACTAATGCTAATTTCCTGCATAACCCAGACCCTTATACTATGTTGAAGCGTGGTTCTCTTCTGAAAGAACTATTTCAGAACAGCCACCTTACTTAATGGTTACAATGTCACACCTTCTTTCAGAATATTTTCTGTTCATGAAAGCATAAAAATACATGTAAGCACACACATCTTCTCGACTGCAATTTCACCACACATTCTTTACATGTGGGCAAAATCACGCAGGTAACTGCTTGTTCACCTTCTCCACCAGTACTCAGAACAATCGCTAATTTTACTTTCAAATAAATGCAAAACATCCTTTAAGCAAGCTACAGAGGAAAACTACATCTTAATTCCAATCCCTCTTTTTAAATCGGAAATGAACATTTTTCAGTTGACCTTCAGAAGTGCATTGCATGAAGTTGCATACAAAAGAAAGTTATGTCTAGAAATAGAACTTCACAAAGCTTTAGCTTCATTGCAGCTTCCTTAATAAGTTGGTTTGTGGAAAATGACAATAATTCCTTTTTAGGCTTAGTGTACCAAGCAACACACCAAGAGAAACTTCTCAAAGATTTGTTAAATCCCCTTCTACTATTCTGCTTTCAAAATAATCTAAGACTGTGTGTATATATATATTTTATATTATACAAGGTATTTTTAATTTCAGCATATAACTTCTGCCAGCTGTACTCACAAGAGTCATATTTGCAACACCAGCTTCCCATTTTAATACAACAGTCGAAGTACAGCATATTACACCTCCAAGTATCTTTGTTGTTAACAGATGATGTGGACCAAGCCTTGTTCCACTGCCTTTTCTTGTCAAGGAAATGTGACAATATAATTAACAGCAAAGCTGAATGAGTGTTTTCACCTGTAAGTCAGTAATATTGCAGCTAGATGGCAGTGCAAAGAAACAGAATTACCCTTGTACAATATTTTAATTCATTACGGAAAAATCAAATCAGATCTCTCAATTAAAAAGAAGAGTTGATTTTATCGTTAATATAAAAATACTGTTAACTTCAAGCATCATTTCACTGAACTACCCTAAACCATGCAGTGTATTCAAACCACAAAACAGTGTGCGCAGGCCTCAACAGTCAGTTCACCTAAAACTAGACTAATTGATATTGGACACAATGTGCTTAATTACGTAACTATACATTTCTGACATTCTTTTTCAGTTTCTCCCCTCAAATACCTACCATGAGTGTAAACTCTTCAGATAAATGAATGCCGGAAGTGTGGTAATTACTATTACTAGATCAACTTCGTACTCATTGTGAAGCTAGTATAGATTCCTAATTTGTAGAAATAGTTAAGCATCAAATGCATGATGATGTATCACTACATCTAGAATACTGATTTTACAATGTATTTTCTATTAGTTTTGTTTATCTTAGTTAGCTAAGCCTTGATTTGTTAGTGCTTGTGCTATGGGGAATAAGTGCACACTTAATTCTGAACTTAGTCATGTTCTGCCACTAAGAGTGTCGAGACCTAAGTGACAGTCTTTTTTTAAGTAACTATGTCAAGCATCTACCATGGGCTCATCTTTCTGGAAAGAGGATAAAATTATAAAATGCAGGACAACAATATTTTTGCTCTGAACCCAAAATCAGCAACAACCCATTACCCAAGAAGACAAAATGGAAAATATGGGCCATTGCTGTAAGTTATTTGGTATAACAAGAAAGAAATTCCATTGTCCTAACACAACCAAGAACAAAACCAAGTCCAACAGTGAGAATAATAATTTGTTTTCATTTTTCCATGCAAGTCATAAAACTTTGATATTTTCATGTATTTAGGAAAAGGTAAAAAACCCCAAAGCATGTAAATACATTCAAACTTCGAGACAAATATACTCTACCAAAAAAAAAAAAAGCCATTGATTCTCTCATCCCCCTTTTGATAAATGCCCAAGATGAAGAAAACACAGCTAAAAGTGTAGTGACATTATGTAAGTACTGGCCTCTCCTCTTATTCTCATCCCAAGTCGTTATTACTAAATAAAGCTCTTTCCAGTATTAATAGAACTAGTAAATATCACCAAAACTCTTCCTATGAAAACAATTATACGTGTATACACAAATCTATGCACAGTTATGTAATATATATACCTTGTAAACATTCTAAGACCTAACCACTAGCACATTATTAATTTTATATTACAATGTTGAATATATTTTTGAACAAGCACTAAATATCAACAGTAACAACAATTAATGCTTTTAATATTTTGTAAGCAAACCAAAGCAGACATCTGGTACCTTCTGAACCCCTCACGCAGGCCATAAATAGTCTGACATGTTTTAATTTACGTCCCCATTCACAGCAAGTTAACTCATCAAAACACTAAGTAAGAAGGGCTTCACTATGCAGGATTTTTTTGCCTTCTATTTGTGTGACCAGCACTAATATCAAGCTGAATGTACACTATTCTATATTCTCCCTATCACTCATTTCTGTTCTGTATTTCCAATAAAACTTGAATTTTTTTTCTTGTTTATCAGTATCAGCTTCAACAATCTGCTCTTCCAGCAATGCCAACATCCTTCAGTTGTTCACCCTCATAGCAGAACACAGGTGCGCCTAGATCAGAAGATTATTTGCAGATGTAAATTCATTTTGCAGACACACAGAATGTTTTATCATCTCTTGAGAGCGCGTGTGTGCGCGTCCATGCTTGAACCGTGTAAGCTGCAGACTAACCTGTCTCAGTAAAAGGCCCCAACTGCTAAAGCACAATGTCAGGGAAGCATACAAGGCAGAGCACAAAATGCTTACAACTGAACACTGCTCTACTCACACCAACCTAAACCTCTCCCTGGTTTCTAGGAAAGCCTGCTTACAGTCAAATCAATGTATATTTTAAATTGTTGCTTTGCTTACTCTGTTATCCATCCCACCATTACCCTTGTTACCTGGGAAAACTCTCCCTACAAAACTGCCATTTGTGATGGTCAACTTTTTAGAAATACAGTGCTGTCCAACTTTGCTTGAAACTTGCAATTGTCATTCATCTCAAATATTTAATTATTGTTTGAAGTATTCAATCACTCCTACATTATTCCTTTCTTCACAAGTACCAAAACTAGTGAAAAGCAAAAAACAATCTACTTTTCCCATTTTTACACCACAGTGAGAAATCTATTAGAAGACCTGTCTAATTTTACTTAACAGCTTGGGTAATAACAATAAAAGGTATTAACCCAGAACCCCACCCCAAATAGTCTTCTCTCCAACACAGTGCACAGTTGCCTGCCTACATACTTGAAGACTAGCAAGCAGGTAGGGGAAAAAAAACCCCAAGGATTACAGACTCATATTTAATGTTGTCCAAGTGTGAATACTGACAGGATAAGACTCTCCACTTAGCTTTGTGCAAACATTAAAAGCATACTTCTAGTCACTTTCACACTAATTACTAAGAATATGAAGTTACCAATACATTCTCCTTAGCAACCTAGTTATTTGTATTGTCAGATTTGATCTTTGATCTCTTTAAGACCTCAGAAAAGTCTTCTATTTCTAACTGAAATCATTAGTAATGCTAACAGAAATAAGGCCTACAAAACTCTTTGTAAATTCATAGTCAACCACATATTGATAAATATTCTCTCAGACTGGTTTGCCTCTCAACAGCATCTTTGTCCATGGAAAAATATCATATGAAAGATATTTTTAATATTGACAAAGTGGCAACATACGCCTTCAGTGAATTTATCTTCACACCTCTTTCAGCAATGAATATATCCCTTCATTGTTTACACTCAACCTCTGAACAAAAACTTTTTTAAAACTGCCTAAGATACACACAACAATTTTAAAATAGTCTCCAGACATATTTCCTTTCTATTTTTTAACTTTTGTACTTATTTTTAAACTGAGAAATATTCACAACAGTTCACTGAATCACTGTCCCAGAAACCTCAGTGACTGCTGTCATGAGGCTGATCTAAGGATCAGAAAGTATCATGTGAAGTTGGGGGGCATGTGGGGGGTAATCAAAAAACCACAGCACAAAGCCATAAAGCCTTTGGTGCTCCACATTCACTAGGGAGGGATTTAAAAAAATGTTCTTATACAACAAGAGGCAGGATTAGACAGCATCAATTTATTCCTCACCTGAGGACAGGATTTTTTTTTAATGTCAGAATCAGTGGGGGTTTTCTCTTTAATCTGATTAATTGATAATAGAAATTGATTAATCTAGCACAGAACTCGGATGGGCCTACAAGATTCAAAAAATAGGAAACAAAGTAGTTCCCACTTCAAAATATAGCAGGAAAGCAAAGATAGTGCTGAGTTCAATGACAGTAAATGTTTGAGGTAAATAAAACTGAACTGAAAACCCCACACACCATTAAGCAGCTAACATACAGCATTATCAGTCTGTAAGGCTGCAGTACTTTTACTCCAAGAAATAGTTGTTTATCTTACGACCAGTGCAAAGACAAAGCAAACAAGCCAAATTTGGTAATTTAAAACTAAGTTGAAATACTGTGTTCTAGGTAAAAGTGAGGAACAGTTTATTTCCCATTCAAGTAAAACATTTCAAGGAAGTGCTGCCACCCAAACACATGCTGCCACATTCTCAAGAGACAGATCCACTCCCTCAGGACTAAAATTTAAATGCCAAAGACTACAAGTGTTATTTTCTTTTAATTTCTTCTTTCGCTTTTTTGTTTTGTTCAAAATGAAATGTAATACCAATGAAAAACTGCCTTCTTCCCCCAAAGAAAGGCACAGATATTCTTATTTTTCTCACACATGAGGAATACCGCAACAACATGGTAAAAATCATGACAAATACCAAGGGGCACTGCCCCTTGAACACAACAAACATCTTCAGCTAATATTATCTTCTCCACAACATACAAAATCAAGAGTCCTATACTCCACTAAAGAGTGCTAATTTCACCTCCATTGCTGTCTTAGTGAGCCCCTTATAAAACTAAATACAGTACTGGCAGATAGAGGCCTGATAGACATTACCTTGAAATGTAGGAAGGTGCATCTGCGATGTTCACACCACTCACCATAAGATGAAAGGCTTCTGAAAAACGTTAAAAGGTTTCTGTGTTCTTCTGTGCTACAAAAGAAAAATAGATCGTTTAACCTAAACAGTACTAGACACACCAATTTTATAGCCTAAAGGTTCGCATTTTTCCACTAAAGAATTTGTGTTTAGTATTGTTCAAATTTGAACCCAGAAATCACACAAAAAAATAATCATTGTGATAGGAAAGAAAAGCTGAAGTGTGGATATTGAAAAAATGTGAATAATTCATTTATAAACCAGTGTTTCCAACTCATTAGGAAGGTAAGCCGCAATCAAGTTACTGTTATATATAAAATGTGTTAACTTGGCAAAGTAGTCACCTGTAAAATCTTAGTTTGTCTTTATACTTGCTCATCTAATACTTTGTTTTCTCTTAACATCCTTTCTCTTTGAAATTAGCTATTCTTTTTGGATTTCCAGAACAGTCGAGGGCAGAAATTTCAGGCCACTGACAGAGTGATTGCAACAGTGTATTACCAAGTCACTTCAACTGTGCCTCAGATCCAGCTCTATTTAACATACAGGAATAGCAACCCTTAACACGTTACACAAACATAAAGTCGAAAAAATACGTGAAGCCCATTCAGATACTGAAAACGTAAAAGAAAAGCCAAACAAGTTTCCAAGCCTGGAAAGAAGAGCAGCATTAATGGAAGTTACCACAGTAGTCACAGCTGCCAACAAAATCAGGCCAACATGAAAAAACTACTGGCAGCACACGCAAAATCAAATCCCTGGAGGGCCGCAGACACACTGAATTCCAATAGCTGACTGGCTCCATGTTCTGGACAGCTGTTTTAACCACAGCTCGTAATTGTACATACAAAAATCTACACATACTATTGTAAAAAATGAAACTTAGTACTGATGGCCCACATCTGTGTGTCTAGCAAACATGATTCTACACATCCTACAGTATACTTTGTAAATCTACGTATGTGGAAGAGGGCAACACAAAACCCTTTTTACAAAACTACAGACGCAAAATTTTTTTTAAAAAGCTTGGCAGTTTTGATGACTATCCACTTCTGTGCAATTCAAAAGACTATCACAAACCTTGTGACCTTGTTTTAGCATTATGTCTTTAGTTTGTTTGTATTTCTTTTTTTCTCTTAGATTCAGCTTTAGGCAATAAAGCAGATGAAAATTTTTGAGGCTAGATCACCAAGCAGAGAGAGCTTTGGCTAACAAGTTCAAATAACCAGTATCAAATGTAAAAGTCAGTCTATGAATTATACCTGAGTATATACTTCCTGTTGTGCACAGATAAATCGCTGGCTAAATTTAAGATGAAAAACTAGATTTAGTGTTTAGAAGGGGGGAAAAATCTGTGTTGGCATGAACAGACATATGTAATATACATGGGTTTTTGTACTGGCAAAGGGAACAGAGAATGCATAGGAGCACTTTATCCATAAACGATAAATCCTGATTAGCCTAATCCCTAATGCTGAGGCAAACTACAACAAACACTAAAACACCAAGAAAGCTTGCTATAAAATAATAAGGTACTAAGAGTGTGAATGTTAAAATTTAAGCCTCTTTTTTGGAAAGAATTTGGCATTACAAAATGTCACCAGATTTAAATAAATCCGCTAGAAGCAGAAAACACCCATCTCCAAAGCCAACATCCATGTAACAGAGAAGTCATCCAAAACCAGCAAAAAGCATATTCATGCAGAGAGTAACTACGTAGCAGGTTAAAATCACATGCCCTTCCTCCAAACACTATTTCACTTTATCAAAATAACATCAACACACAAAGGTATATAAGAAACTTAACTGTTGCACAAGTATTTAAGGCTCCTTTAATACGCTCCTTTAGTACTTTTAAGAGATGAAATCTACTTTAACTCGCTGCAGTATGCAAGACTTCTTGCATTAGCATATAAAACCAAAGAACGACACAGATGTGGGAAAAATTCCTGCTTCCCCTCACTTCCAAAATACCTAGCCCATGCGGCGCTTAACAGAATGTAGCCATTTCATAAATCCTTCACTATGACTTGCAAATTCTAGTTAGTAAAATGCAGGAGCAGTTTTCTAACTGTCTAAATACGCCTCCCATTTGATTAAGTAATCTATGCAGCAGTTAACTAAGCCAGCAATTAATGGGATATCAAGAAAAAAGACTGGCAACAAGACTTTTCATAGATATTCTGGTCCTCAGCGTTAATAAACTATAACCTAGGTGATAACTGGTGTGAAGGGGACTCAAGTAAAATCCAAAAATAGAAGGCTAAACATTGTGATTTCCTTCGCATACATATTTCATTGTCACAACATATTTAAAAATGGCACACACCTTTTAAAAATGGGTATTATATACTGCAGCAGCACCACGTTGAAATAAACGGCTGAATTTCTCTTCTTATAAAAACACGTTGCTCAAGTTTCTAGCACTCCTGTTTTCTTCCAAAGCAGGATAGGCTTGGGAATTACAAATGAGTGCCAAGTTCCTAATTCTGGTGCTATTAAGACCTTTTTCTGACATGCATTATGAAAAATTAAGCCAAAAAAATTAGAAAGATGAGGAGGAAGAAATCCAGACCCATAGAGAAAACAGAACAGAGCTAGACAATGGATTTGGCATGACAAGGCCAAGGAGGCAAAAGGAGGAAACAGAAACTGGTAAGGATGTGTGCTGGGTTTGGCTGGGATAGAGTTAATTTTTCTCACAGAAGCTGGTGTGGGGCTGTTTTGGGGTTGTGTTGGAAACAATGTTGATAACCCAGGGACGTTTTTGTTACTGCTGAGCAGTGCTGACACACAGTCAAGGCCTTTTCTGCCTCTCACCCCACCAGTGAGTGGGCTGGGGGGGTACACGAGGAGCTGGGAGGGGACACAGCCAGGACTGCTGACTAAAGGGCTGTTCCAGACCATATGGCATCATGCTCAGCATGTAAAGCTGGGGAAGAAGGAGGAAGTGGGGGACATTCGGAGTGATGATGTTTGCCTTCTGAAGTCACCATTACACGTGATGGAGCCCTGCTTTCCTGGGGATAGCTGAACACCTGCCTGTCCAGGGAAGTGGGGAATTAATTCCTTGTTTTGCCTGTGTGTGTGGTTTTTGCTTTTTGCTTGAAAGCCTTTTGCTTTAAAGGCTAAACTGCCTTTACCTCAACCCATGGGTTTTCTCACTTTTACTCTTCTGACTCTCTCCCCATCCCACTGGGAGTGAGCGAGCAATTGTGTGGTGCTTAGTTGGTGACTAGAGTTAAACCACAACAGGAGGTTGAAAAGAATGAACAACACAGAGGGAGACCAGATTCAGCTGGTCAAGAACAGAGGAGGAAAAGGGAGGGAAGTGGAAGGAATCAAGATTCTAAGAGCAGCTGGTGGGCTGAAGAATAGGGAACTAGTTGGAAAAATCCTAAAACTGGACATGAAAAGAGGGAATAAGGACAGAGTAAGAAACGAGAACTAGCTTAACAAGGTGACTGAGAAAACAAGCCATAAAGGGAGATCACATCATCAGATTAAGTTAATCTAACAGTGGGTTGCTGTCAAAACAGACCTTGTCAATATCAGCCTCACTCTGGATACAAACTTACTGCCTTAAATCAACAACAAACACTGTGAGACCACAGGACAAGTCCAATAGAATTAAATTTGAAGGGGTTGGGGTGGGGATGACAACTTTTTCAACCAAATGACTACATTAAACCTATTCACCATGTGGCTTCAGGAGTATATACACTGACACAAGGACAACAGATGGTACACGCAAGCAGAGGCTAAGGAGAAAGAACCACTTGCTTTATTGAGAAAACCCTTAATTCACCTCACTATTAATGAAATCTTATGTTTACTTACGAATACTGGCATAATGTGGAAAAGGACTAGGGCAGTGAAGAGACAGGGACAAGACAGCAGTACTCAAGCCAGGATGAAATAAAGTCTGCCACTACTTCAACACATTCCAGCATGACTATTAAGTTCCAAGACACTTCTGCTGTCAGAAAATACTCATGAAAAAACCCAGGCTAATTTCATCTTCTAAATCCTTGAGAGCAGTCAGCTACTATTCTCACTCACAGCACTAACTTTAGTAGATTTGTATGGAAATTCCAAAGCCTCTAAATGAAAAATTCAGCTCTCAGTACACACTAATGGAGCCTGAGGTAACTCAGTAGACCTTTTCTTTCACCCATCCATTTGCCTTCCCTCTCCAAGTCTAAAAAATAATATAAAACAAAAGAAATCACTTAAAGAACAGGATTAAGTCACCTACCCAATAATAATTAATAATATATTTGTTCTCAGAATAGTTTGCTACCAAATTTCACAGAAAATAATAAAAAATTAGCATTCAGTCACATGCTTAAGATATAGTGTGTAGTTTCTTAACCCACTGCACAAATACAGTATTCCAGGATTTTAAACTATATTCTATTGTTTTTAAAATATCAGAGAAAGATATCCTGATGTAAAGAAGAGAAATGGAATGGTGAGCAGAGAATTAGAAAGAAGCAAATCCTGGAGAAGGGTTCTGGACATATGCTTTAGCCATTACTCACCCACACATCTACATCACAGTTAACATGTTGGTTACATAGATTAAAATGTAATAGCTGAGCCTACCTTGTTGTATCTTTCTCTGAAGGAAACAATTTCAAACAGCTAAAACATTATAATCCAAAAACTGTTTCTGTTTAACAGTAATTCATAATGGTCCTTTCAGGCCTTAAAAATTACATGCACTTCATCTTCTCTCCAGAAGGACACAGACAAGGGACCGGTCAAGGTTGAGCTAACAGTACATTACCAAACACGGAAACTGACTGCCAGCAATTCACACGAAAACTCAGTATTGCATTCAGATCCCGGACCGTAACTTTCCTCAAACAAAAAAACTCCACTTTACCTTGATACAAACTTGCTCATATCTGAGTCTTCTCCAGATTCCATTATAATGCTGAGATCAGTAATAACAGCAGACACATCCTCTTTGTTCTAGATTGGAGAAGTAACAGAGCAATGTTTTAGAAATTTCTCCAGCAAGGAGAAAAAGAATTTATCTATTAGCATACAGAACAGACAAAAATATATGCAGATGCTGCTAAGTACTATAATCCTTAAAATAGCCTTTTTTTTAAACTATAGCTTATATGTGTGGACGTGTTCTTTCATTCCAACAGTCAGGGCTTTTGGAATAATACCTGAACTAGTCAGCATAGAGATATATATGCACAAAGGAAGACATAAATAAGAGGTTCATCTACTTCCTTTCATGTCACTTACACTTAAAGATTCTTATTTTCCAACACAACCCTAGCTGCCACATACCAAAAAACTCAAATGTAAGGTTTCATCTGAAAACCGTAACAATGCTACCCTAAATTTAAAAAAATAGTACTTCTCCTGTTAGTTTTCCTTTCATTTTTTTATTTTACAGCCTATAGCTTTGCCTCGAATTCTTGTTCCTTTTTACGATAATAACTATTACTACAGTAATAAACTGTTATTACGATAGTAACTATAATTAACTATATATGTGCATGGTAAGAAAAATAAAGTGTTTCCAAATTAAAATATCTAACAACCTATTGAAAAAATAAATTAGAAAGGAAATTTCTGTAGTAGAAATGAAGGCACAGAAGAATTTAATTCTTTTCTTTACACATTCTTGAACACACCAGAGTAATACATTATCTAACAGTGAATGAAAAAGCTTAAAATAATGGCTTAGAAGACCATAGCAAATCCTTCATGTTACACTGGAGACTTTGTACTTCATCTTTCTTATACCCAGGAATCCCCAGTAGTTGCTGCTGGTGGAACAGCAACAGAGGAAACTAAAGCTGGAGTCAAATGCAAACATACCACAGCAACCCTCAGTAGTGGTTGGACAGCTAACACTGCCATCAGTGAAGATGGGAAAAGCAAACCAAGAAACTACGGTTTAGTGGATTGATTAAGTAACATCAGGAAAAATCATTTTACAGTTAGAACAAAAGGTTCAACATGTGCAAGGAGTCGTAGAGAAGCTGCTAGTAATCACGAGCTAACATGGAACCTTCTCAACTGGTTTCCAGTAAGTGGGTTACTAACATCTGCCAAGATGGCATCTCGGGGTCACATAAAAAGATTTAAAAGGAAAGCCCTCGAGAAGAAAACAACTCTTACTTGAATGATTGCTCTGTCAAGCGGTTAGACTTGCTTTGGCAGATTTCCAAGCTAATTGTACATGTCCTCTCCTAATACTTAAGGACAGTAAGAGGGGAAAATAAATCAACCAATGCTTTTGCATTAACCCATTGTGCCGGTTTCAGGAAGGAAAGAGAACCTTTCCTCCACAGCTGGCCGAAGGAGCATTTCATTCCTTGGTACTTCATGCTCAGGGCAGACATGCAGTTCTGAGGTGAGGAAGTGGCCTGGGGGTGGGTTGTTAAGACTTGATAACTGGGTCGTTAGCTCTTGGCATAGTTGTTAGCAGTGGGGTGGGTTGTTTCTTAGCGGCTGGGGGGGGTTGGCTGGCTTTTGTCCCAGTCGGTTGTTACCCTAGGCCAGTGAGGGCGCTTGGGCTCAGAACTCACTCTGGGGACCTGGCTGTGTGTCAGTTAGCAGATGGTAAGCAATGGTATCATGTTCTATTTTCTATTATTTAATTACTTAGTAGTAGTATTACTACAATTTTCATTTATATTATTAAGTAGTTCTTATGTCAACTTTATGAGCTTCCTTGTCTTTTCCTCTGACTCTCCTCTGCCACTGGGGAGAGGGAAGGTGAGCCAGCAGCTGAGCAGTACTTTACTGTGACCCCAGGTTAAACCATAACACACATTTTCTTCATCCACATTTTGACCTTTTTAAGCATCCAGCTACGCACAGTGGTGAAAATATGGCAGCTACTTTGCATGCACTCATAGGTGGCAAAACACCAGTCAGCTTGGAATTGTTAACTGTAGGCTAGTCCAATGCAGTGCCAAGACTAAAGAACCAGCTGAGATGCAGAATGCATCAGGCAGTGAGTGACCAGTACTGCAGAAATACAGACATACTCACAGCCATTCAAAGCTAGTCAGAGTCAACCCCGATCTGCCTACCCCTCTTTGGACAACTGTATCCTCAAATACAGCTTTTAACACAAATTACATTTAACATTTTGTTTAAGATCAAATTAGAGATAATTACAAGAACAACTGGTTACTGTATATTAAAAGGTTTGATTTAAGGTACTCTGGAGCTGAGCTGACTGTATTGTAACTTTATGAGCTAGAGTTAACTCTGGAAAAAACATGTCTTCTGCAGCATACCAATGGCTTTGTTACCTACTAAGCATTTCCCCAAAGCAGCTGTTGTCTTTTACTGCTCAAGATGGGTGAAGCTAGTTGCAACTTTACGCTCTCTTGCCCACACTGGTATCAGTACACAACATTTTGAATACAATCATTAAAGCCATATCTTAGAAAACACTTTTCCATTTCTATACATAAGAACACAGAGGCATAAAAAAACCTAAAGCTTAGTTTCCACATATTACTGGCCTGAAGCGACAACTTTCCTGGGAGCTATGGAGGCAGACTCCTGCATCCGCAGGGGACCTACTCACTTCACCATGGGATGACCCACACAGTGTAGGAAGTGTGCGGCAAAACCAAAATAATATGCCAGCACTTCCACATCACTGAAACAGCCAGCTAGAACTAGGCAAAATACCTGAATGGAACCGTTAACCATGTAGTCACGAGACCTGGTTTTTTATTATAAAGAAATGGAAGAGAGTAATTTTTTAATCATGAAAATTACAGAAATGCGTGTCTTGAAAATACGATCCTTAGGCTTGAATTTTTGAAGTACCAAATTCCCCCAAAATTTATTTGATTTAAACAGTTCTAACAAAACAAAAATACAGAACTGTATACAATGGTTGTATTTTACAACTTTAACCAAACAACTATATTATGATTTGTGCAATAGCTAAAACACATTAACATTTACGTAAATGCAAAATAACATTCAAGTTCACATACAATCACAAAAACTGAGTAAAGGAACAGACATTAGTCTGTGTTTGAAACAGTAAGCATATGTCCTGGCTTGGGTACGTAACACCAAAAATAAAATACTAAACCTGGATACTATTGCACAATTAAAAACTGTCTTCTTCATTCGTGTCTGCTTAACTAATTTACCATTTACACATGTCCACAACCCACACTATAAAATATTGGCAATTCAGAGTTTATATCAATTTACCTTAAGTTAATATCACCTGCATTGCATATTAAACTGTAAATTAGAGGTATCATGAAGTTTTAAGAAAAAATTAAATTAATGCAAAAAGTTAACTCGAAATTATATTTTTTCAAAGTATTTTTTTTCTTAGTACGTACACTTGATATTCTATCTATCACGAAATAGTATGTACCGTCAGCGCTGAAGAACACCACTTTAGGCATTACGTAGACAAGTGCTGTCATCTAGCGGTGCCATAGGTCACCAACGCAGCTATAAACAACCAACTTCCAGTTACTCAGCTGGGCTCTAAAACTAAAAGAGTCATTCTGCAGGAGCATCCGGACGAGAAACAGACATTAATCTAACCAACTTGCATGACTGATATAGGTTATTTCAAAGCTAATGCGGTTTTATACAAGCAGATGGAAAGATGACATCGCCAGGACCACAAGTTTCAAGTCATGCGTGGCCTTAAGAGGCTGCAGAATAACCTCATTCCACTGAACTCCTGCAGTTTCACATTGGGCAATCCACATGTGAGTATCTAAATACTCATTTCCTAAATTCATAATATGCCTTAAGATTAGGAAGGACATCTTTACAGAGCAAGTTAGTTTTTAATACTATCAGGTTCAACAACATTCAATTTAAAAAAAATACCTTTTAAAGCTGAGCTGAAAATGAAGTTTTCCCAAGAAGGAAATTTCCTGATGTCAAAAACATCATTACAAATTAGAGTAACAGCTGTTTTCCACTGCTTATCATTTTGAAATCTGTGCTAAGAATAGGTTCTTATAAAAAAGCTTCCTTGCAAAAAATGTGCAATCATTAATGTAACTTCTGTGCCATCCCTTGATGTAATGGCTAGTCACACTAGCCAAGCAAATAGAAATAACAACCAAAGTAAAAAAACCCACAATTGTTCAGGTTTGTAGTTTTAGCTTTTCCCCAATTCCCTCAAGAGAGGTAAGGTTCAGAATTTTCCAGTCTCCAGAACAAGATACCTGACTATAGGAGAATGGGGTACATATTTCATGACTGAATGCTGAACCCGACCTTCAGAACTATTTTGCTTGACTGCTCATGGAATTCAAAAGTTGAGTCCAGCTGTTACAGAGTGAAAACAACCCACTGAGGCCTAGATTAAGGAGACTTGGGCTATCAAAACCAGAAAACACCAGTTGAAGGTTTCAGCTGGAAAAGAGGATACTGACATTTATCTATTTGGAGTCTTGGTTTGTGTTGTTGTTTTTTTTTCTTTTTTTTTTGGGGGGAGGGGAGGGAGTGGTGGTGAGGGGGGTTCTTTTGCTTTGGTTGGTTTGTTTGTTTTTTAAACCTACACTGGTCCTTACCTGCAATTCAAGAAGCTGGAATTCCAATTGAAAAGACAGGGAGTGGCAATTCCCTGCTAAGCTGTGCTTCTGCACTGTTCTGTTTCTAGCTGTTTCAAAATAAAATTATTAAAAAACTTGGTTATAATTCTATTCATAAGTTATGGCATTTCTTCCATTAGTCATATAAATAAAGTATCAACTGATACTGTCCATGATATAAATAAAGAAGTCAGGTTAAATGTGTTAAAAAAACCCCAACGCCCAAACCAACTACCTTCACAGCAGTCTCACTTTCCCCACTACACAAAGTACTATATTTACTCAGAAACTACTTTGCCAACAAAGAAAAATCTATTGTGTTTCAGAACAACTATCTACTAACATTCAATTCAAAGCAGAATTAGAAAAATGCTTACTTCTTTCCACTGTTTTCTTCAAATGATTTGTGAACTTAATACCAGAAAATTTCATTAAAAATGAGAAATCTGTTAAAAGACTTGCAAGTTGAGCTTTCAGGTCTGATTCGCATCCCTTGGATTCTCCCTGAAATTCTCCTTGGAATGATTTTCTAGAATTGAAAAAGAAAAAAAAATCAAAAGGGCAAAAGACCCAGACATAAGAACACATTTTGCCACGTTACAGATGCCTTTTATTTAATGGCATTGCTGTACTCATGATCTGACGGTTTTTCAGCCCAAGATCAGTTTTCAATTAGTCGAATTTCAGTTGGATCATATTACTAGGACAGTAAACTGTTTAACTTACATAACTAGTGTTTGTTGACGTTCAGGTAGACACAGCCTTTATTGTAAGTCTTGAGATGCAAGTATTGAGGGTTGGAACTAGATGATCTTTAAGGTCCCTTCCAACCCAAACCATTCTGTGATTCTATCCATTTGGAGGAACAAGCAACAAAAATGAGCTGTGATGCCATTACTCATCTAAACGAATTATTTTATCTATGGAGTGTACATTTACTACAGAATAGCAGTTAAATAATGGAAAGACAAAGCCCTAACATGGCACTCCTTCAGCACATAACTAGTCACACCTCTACATGCCCCAGACCCCATACTTTTTTTTTTTTTAAGTAAACACACCCTGAGCTGTTTCACAGTGCATAATGGAAAACACAGCCTTTGCAGTGCCCGCACAATAATGTACCTGACATCATGCTCTGACCATCAGGACTGCCTTTTAAAAACAAATAAACAAACCAAAACCCTAAAACCTCACAAGCTACCAATAGAAGGCAGTAGAGATCAACTCTATATTATGTGTAATCTTTCGCCATCTATAGGCCATGTCCCAAACAACATCAGCACTGTAAAAATAATATAAGGAAAGTCCTAACAGAGGCAAAAGCTTAGCCTAAACAATTTTGACAAAGAAACATTATTAGCCTGGCACGTGGAAAAAAGCATACATTGAAATTACTATCTCCTCATCAGAAAAGAAGGCGAGTTCTTGTAGGCTATCTTCGTGCTTCTCAGTCAACAGTTTAATTTCTTCTTCCAGTGACTGGATTTCATCTTCATAAACTTGAAAAACGCTGTGGTCCATTTCTCAGAATCAACGTTACTGGATAAAACAAAATAAGTATATTTCTTAGGCAAAACCAATCCCCCTCATTTTCAAAATGCATTATTTTATCCAAGTAATTATTTTAAGAAATGCAAATACAACATTAGGCAATTGTTTCTTCTACCCCCCTACTCAAAATGAAACAATTCTATGATATTTTATGACTTTTTAGAACTGAAGAATTAGTATGTTCAATTTTTAAGTATCCCACGTATCTTTGACAAGTATAATAATTTATACCTCTGTAAAGAACTCTAGTGTCACACGCTCCTGTTTGTTATGGAAGATTAGCATATAAACCTTGATCCTCAATAACCCAATTTGACAGGAATTCTGTCACTAACTTGAGGATAGAATTAGGTTTGCAGTAGAACTCTGCCCTTAATACTACAGCATTCTTGTCATCAACGTAATTGCTACTTACACCCTAGAAAGTCCACTTAGAAAAACACTGATCTGCAAATAGCCATTGCAAGAGAAGAAAAGCTGTTTTTTTCTATAATTCTGCACATAATGAAGCTTCCTAAGAAATGTCATAACTCGCCCTGCTGAAAGCATCTATGAACCACAAAGATTCTACCTCCAGTCAATACAGGCAGCTGTGAGACATCAGCAAGAACATGGCAAAAAACAGATTTCTGACTATACATAAAAGAAGAAAGGGTAAAAAAGGAAGAGTTTTCTCTGAAATAGGTAACAACTATTAAATAAAAGTTGTTTTGTGGCATTGGTTCCTCAAAGACGTAATTCACTGAGTCCAAATGTAATTATTAAACCAATTTTAACACACAAATCACTCCATAGCCTCCAAATAAGAGAGGAAATCGGGAATCTAATGTAGTCAAAGGCTTTTAAGAATTTTTTTAACTAATCATGTTTTCATCCAGGAGCATGTCCAGCTGTTTTAAATTTGCTGTAATAGAACTGCAAACTATTCTGCAGATAAAAAACAATTCTCATCAAATACAGAAACTGAATCCAGCTTTGCCCAATTCACCTCATTGTCCACCTGCTTAAATGGACAGCTGCTCCTACTAACACTAGAGCATTATCTGCCCTTCAAGTAAGCAGCAGTAGAGATACAAAGAAACAACTAACCATAGGAATTTGTTGGTATATTTCACAAGAAACAGCATCTGGATAACACATATAAGAAAACATTCAAAACAGGTTTTGCATTATAAACTTATTTAGTAAAAAAAAATAAAGTATATGCAGCTAAAGAGCCACCAAGATTGGGTCTAGTTGTCGCCTTTGTCGCCCTTCTCTAGGCATGGTCCAGCATGTCCTTCTTGGAGTGAGGGGCCCAAAACAGAACACAGGACTTGAAGTACGACCTCACCAGTGCCGAGTACAGGGGACAATCCCTGCCCTGCTCCTGCTGACCACACTGTTCCTGATACAGGCCAGGATGCCGTTGGCCTTCTTGGCCACCCACATATATTTTCGTGCATTAGCGGTAAACATTTCACATACCTGTCTGCATACGCCACTAAGCATTCGCTTTTACGCTGCCAGAAGAGCTGGGAAGAGCAGTCAGTGGTTTGTCCGACACCAGCTGGAGAGGTTCCGTGTCTCGTTGCGTCGCCTAGTAGCCTTCGAAACTCACACGGCGGCGGCTGGGAACACGGCTCAGGTGGCTGGTGCGGCCCCAGCCCGCCCCAAGGCGCGGGTTAAGGCTCCCAGCAGGCAGAGGATGCCCCGGCGGCACACAGCGCGCCCAAGGAGAGCCCCTGCAGACGGAGTGGCGCCGCAGAGCCGGGCACCCACGGGCCAGCGCCAAAGC